TGGAGGAGTCTTGGAAATGGAGATCTTGGCACAGCTGGTAAAGTGCCTGATGACCTTTGTCCAACTCCTTGAATCCATGGATAACTAGACTAAGTTATCTTCTGGCCTGTACAGGTGAATCCTGGCACACAGAGGCCCACACACGCACACCATGGGGATCTCGAGCTGCGAGGTTGCTCAGTTGGTAGAATGATTGACCAGCAGAGATGAAGCCCTGGGTCCCATGCCCAGGACCACATAAAACCAAGGTGCTGTATGCCTGTGATCCCGGCATTCCACAAGTTCAAGGCCATCTTTGGCTACATGGAGAAGTCTAAGCCAGTTTGGGTAAGAGTTCCCTGGAGGAATGGCCTCCCCTCTCTTACCATCTTTAATTTCATCTGTGAATCTGTAAAATGGGGTGAGGGCAAGCTCTCAGCAGAGGCTCCTGAGCCACGTACCCCACACTGCTGCCTCTTTGATCTATTGCAGCCCCCACCTGTGCAAGCAGCAGGCCCCATCATTATCCACTCTAGTATGACCTTCCTAGGGCCTTATAAAGGACTCTTGTCATCTGAAAGGGAGCAGGCAGTGTCCATCATAGCTACTGGTATCATAATGAGATCCTTTCTTTGCTCAACCCTGGCTGCTTGGGATGAGAAGGAAGCCCTGGTGGAGAACCAGTTTCCCAAGGGAGCAGTGGTGAGTAACTGGGCCCCCCACCCACCGGAGGATCTGGCAGGGGGCAGCAACCAGAGCCAATGTAACTGCAACTTTGGAAGTCAGACTCACACAGAGAAGACCTAACTAGCTGCCTCCTGGGGTAGGCTGGGAGCGGGGGAGGGCGAGCTCTCACAGAAACGTCAACTTTTTAAAAAATATGTTTTCAGTAATTGCTGTTCTGTGTCAAGTTTCAGCCTGGTGGGAGTTTCCTGTCAGATTCACTAAGTAGGTGTTCCTAACAGACAAGATAATCACCCCTGTGTAGGGGTGAGATGCTCAGTACTGATCCCTGATCCCCATGCCAAGGTGACGTGCCTCCTGGATCTGCTAGAACAGGCAGCTCAGGGCAGGAGGAGGCGCCTGTGTGGGGCAGAAGAGCCAGAGACTCTGAGGGCAGCTACATACCACAGGTGGAGGATGCAGCCCACACCAGCCCCTTCAGGACTGCCATGTGGTGTCTGCAGCATACTGGAGGGGGGCGGGCTATCTGTTCTATGAGGCCTGGAGGGGCCTTCTCTCCCCGCCCCTTTCAGCAGCAGCAGAGTAAACCCGGCTGACCTCTGGTGTTTAAGGAGACATTCACTGTCTCCTCCTCTCTCACTGTCACTGGGGGCTTTGGGATTTTGTTGTTTCATTTTGTTTAGATTTATTTTTATGTGTATAAATGTCTTGTTTGCATGTATGTATATATGCATACTTGCCTAGTTCTCAAAGAAGTCAGAAGAGGTCATTGGACGTCCTGGAACCTGAGTTTCAGATGGTTGTGAGCTATCACATAGATGCTGGGAATTGAACCCAGGTCCTTTTCAAGAAGAGCCAGTGGTCTTGACCACTAAGCTTTCTCTCCAGCCTCAGAATATTTTTTTTGGGGGGGGGGCTTGTTTGTTTGTTGTTTGTGGATTTGTTTTTTTTTTGTTTGTTTTTGAGACTCAGTCTCACTATGTAGCCCTGGTTATCTAGGAACTCACTATATAGATCAGGCTGCCCTCAAATTCACAGAAATCACCTCCCTCTGCCTCTGGAGTGCTGGCATTAAAGGCATGTACCACCATGCCCAGCATGGCAAGTTATTTTTGAGGAGAGGCAGCATAATCTGTCACAGAAGTGGGAACAAGAGAGAAACTGATCATCTGTCCTGCCGTCTGTCCATCTACCTATCTATCCACACACCAATCACTGATCTACCTACCTACCCCTCACGGGTCCACTTATCTATTCATCTATTATCTATTCCTCTATTTATTCAACTATATATCCATTCATCAACCCATCCACCTACCTAATATCCATCTACCCATTCACCCACCTACCCACTCACCATCCACCCACTCACCCATCCATCCATCCATCCATCCATCCATCCATCCTTCCATCCACCCATGCATCCATCCATCAATCCATCCATCCATCCACCCATGCATCCATCCATCTGTTCATCCATCCATCCTTCCATCCATCCATCCATCCATCCATCCACCCATGCATCCATCCATCCATGCATCCATCCACGCATCCATCCATCCATCCATCCATCCATCCATCTGTTCATCCATCCATCCTTCCATCCATCCATCCACCCATGCATCCACCCATGCATCCATGAATCCATCCATCCATCCATCCATGCATCCATCCATCCATCTGTTCATCCATCCATCCTTCCATCCATCCATCCATGCATCCATCCATCCATCTGTTCATCCATCCATCCTTCCATCCATCCATCCACCCACGCATCATCTTTCTACTCATCTCTCCACCAGCTCTCCATCTATATAATCATTTATCTACTCATCCATCTGTCCATTCACCCACTCATCTATGCCTCATATCCCTTTCTGAGCAGTAGGAAACATCTACAGAAACATAATCCCTACTCTCAGAGAACACACAAACTAGGAGGAGGAAGACAGACAAAACACACAGAGGAAGATGCATAAAGGATGACCATAAAGTCGACTGTGTGGTTGTGAGAAAGAACTGAGTGGACTGCAGTTCAAAATCATCAGAAGAGTTTTAGAGGAATCGTCCAGGTGAGACTTGAAATCAAGAGTCATAATGGTGAGAGACAGAGTTAAACTTTTTTTGGTATTTATGTTTTAGGTTGTTTGGGGGCTTTTGTTGGTGGTGGTGGTTTTGTTTTGATTTTAGTTTCTTTGAGTCATGGTTTGACTCTATACCCCATACCAGCCTGAAACTCATTCTGTAGTGTTGAGGTTGGCCTCAAATTCATGATCCAACACTGCAGCCATCCAAGAGCTGGGGTTATAGTTACAAATATCCATCTCTATCCTTAGCTTGAGTTTGAAAAAAAAGATAGTACCTATTTCCAGGTATAACAGGGTCAAGGGAGGGCCCAAATGTTGAGGATATAGGAGGTCATAGTTGGTGTCTTAGTTAGGGTTTTATTGCTGTGAACAGTCACCATGACCAAGGCAACTCTTATAAAGACAACATTTAATTGGGGCTGGCTTACAGGTTCAGAGGTTCTGCCCATTATCATCAAGACCAGGGCATGGCAGCATCCAGCTAGGCATGGTGGCAGGCAGAGTTCTATAGCTTCATCTGAAGGCTGCTAGCAGAATACTGGCTTCCAGGCAGCTAAGACGAGGGTCTTAAAGCCCACACCCACAGTGACACACCTACTCCAAAAGGGCCACATGTTCTAATAGTGCCACTCCCTGGGGCATGGTACCCATTTCACTATGGGTTCTCAAAGGCTCAAAGCCCTCCATCCTCTCACACCCTCTCCCTTCAGAACTGCTACAGCATTCACAGCCTACAGCACTCCTAGGAAGGATGCAGGCAGTGAATGCTGAGCAGAGGCAACACAGCTAGCCTTCCAACCCCCTCCCTCTATCTGTGGGAGGCAGTCTTGGAACCTGTCATGAAGGTGAGACAGCCTGGCTCCAGCCATACCTGGAGTGCATCTGCCATAAGACTGGAGACGGGTCAAGATGAACCTCTGGGGCCTTCATGCATTGCTAGGCTTGTTACAGTTACACTAATCTGAGCAAATAAGCAAGGGTGGTGGATTAAACATTGACAGCCACACAGCTGGCAGCCTGTGCTTCTGGAGAAGATAGACGACTAGGGACTGGCTTCACATTTTTATCTGAAACAACTGGAGAAAATAAATGAAGCAACTACCCTTAAGATCTCAGACAATTGGGGGATAGCATCAGGTGGATCTCTGAGAGTTCAAGGCGAGCCTGGTCTATATAATTGAGTTCCTTTTCTCCTTTTTTTTTTTTTTTCGAGACAGGGTCTCTCTGTATAGCCCTGGCTGTCCTGGAACTCACTCTGTAGACCAGGCTGGCCTCGAACTCAGAAATCCGCCTGCCTCTGCCTCCCAAGAGCTGAGATTAAAGACGTGTGCCACCACTGCCCGGGTATAATTGAGTTCCAAGGCTGAGTAAGTTCCTGTTTCATCTAAACAAACAAAGCCAAAAACAACAACAAAAAACCCGGAAAACAAACAACCCAAACAAACCACCAGGGTTCCAGACATTCTGAATCCTTTCTGTGGAAACATAAGACACAGCTTAAATATCTAAAAAGAAAGAAAGAAAAAAAAAAGCACCGACTCCCCTATTCTTATTTTCCATGTCCCTCCCCATTGGAGACCCTTTTGGGTCACCGTCACCAGATGGCTCTTCTGCCTGTCCCTCCTGAGCCCAAATTGTGTTGGTGCCTGTACTAGGCATCTGTCTTCCTGGAGCACCGTGCTGTCTCCAGGCCAGGCCACGCCCGTAACAGACAGGCTGTGCCTCATTCTGTCCATTGGCTTTTCTCCAGGGCTACAGGTGGAAAGAGACTAGGCAGGTGCAGAAAGCCTTTCAAACAGAAACTGCGTAGAGGAGAAGTGTCTAGGATGTGTCCTAAGGACAGAGCTTCATCTTGACTGGTCTCCAGTCTTAGACGCACTCCAGGTATGGGCTGGAGCCAGGCTGCTCAGGTTTTAATGGCAAAACCATCTCCCGCCGCGCTTCTTGCGTGATTACGAAGAGTGGGGCGGTACGTAAGTGCGCAGATGAGACCCAGTGGCCCAAGTTCGGCCGCAGGTCCCAGCTTTCCCAGCTTTGACTCCTTAGGCCCAGAAACCCGGCTGGTGAGCCCCAGCGTGAAAATGCCTTGGGATCATTGCTCTCTGCGGGCGGTGGGCAGGGCGGAGCCAGAGACCGAAAAGTGGGCAGTCCTATGGGCTGGGCGGGATCGGATTGGGGAGGGAGGCGGGTCCTGGAGGGGACCTTTGGTGGGTGGGGCTGCAGGTGGGCGGTCCTATAGGACGCAGGCCTGTCAGTCCGCTGCCTCTGCAGAGGAAGATGGCGCCTCGAAAAGACAGGGTCTCTACACTGCCCCGGCTCCAGCTCCTAGTGTTGTTGTTGCTGCCGCTGCTGCTTGTGCCCCAGCCCATAGCAGGTCATGGTGGCAAGTACTCGCGGGAGAAGAACGAGCCCGAGATGGCCGCCAAGCGCGAGTCCGGGGAGGAGTTCCGCATGGAGAAGCTAAACCAGCTATGGGAGAAGGCCAAGAGGGTGAGTGGGACCAGGGAGACGCGCGGGGATGGGGGTGAGGAGCTGCGTGTGAGCGAAGGCGAGCAGGGCCCTGATCAAGAGGCCAGCGTAGCCGCTGGGATGGGGGACAGCCTACCCTTTGTACTGCCTCCCCTTAAATGTCAGGTGGGCCATCTTGACCTCACTTGTAATAAGAGACCCAAAAGTCCAAAAGGAACTTGGTGCTGCTTGTAAGGGGCTATGGTTGCCTTTAGTGCAATTGGCGACCCTAAAGAATGAGTGATACCTACCCTTCCTAACTCTTCCCCAAAAGCCAGTTTTACAAAGAGCCAACTATTCAGATGGAGATAGCCAGGTGCTTTCTACGTAGGATCTGGATTGCAAGTCTTTTCTTTATCTGTATTTACTCCTATGGAAAGAAGAAAAACAAGTGACCTGACATGAGACAGTACAGAGACAGCAGAAGCCCCAGTTGCTAGTGGAGCTGGTTAATTTGGGTAAAGCATTTCCCTATGAGGTTGGGATCCCCTTAGTATAGGTAAACACTACACGAGAGCTGGGGAATGCTGAAGTTAGATTTAGCTGATATGCTAATCTCTCTTCCTTTTGAAAAGGAGATATCCAGAGCCTGAGGGCTGGCCTGGAACTAGGCTAGTACTTGGGCTTTTGTTTAGGTATTTATTCATAAACAGTGTCAGAGCCACAGTATCTTAGCCCTCCAGTTTAAACATTCCTGAGTTTGGGAGGAGAGTAAATAATTTGCAAACTAAGAGTTTTAAAAGAAAACCATGGAGAACTTTGGCCCTGGAGGATTAGGGTAGCTGGTTGAGACGTTGGCTTCTGGGGAAGGGGAGTGGAACCTCACAGACAGCCCCACAGCTTAGTGCTCAGTCAGTGTCTTTGAGAGGCTGCAAGAGGGGACAGTGTGCAGTGTCCAGCCTGCAAAGGTTTGGGACAGCCCTGTGGCCTGGAAAAGCAGCTCAGCTTTCTGGAGAAAGGGGCCAGGCACACTGCTGCGAGTGGATGTGTGCAGAGCATCTATCTAGAGTAAAAGGCTTGCTGTCCCGATGGCTGTCTCCATGTGCCCTCTGTGATGAGTGTGCTTCACCTGGGACCACCCAATAAAACAAGGATGGGGCCATAAAGACATTAGCAGATACCTTCAAAGACTGTGTTGGGGAAGTGTAGTCTGGTGTCCATAGATGCTGAGATCCCATTTACTCAAAAGGTGGCCCAAAGTCCTCCACATGCACGTCCAGGTGACTTCTGCCCTCACTCTGTGCCTTTGTGGTCCCTGGGTCCTCCGACATATCTACTGATCTGTGGCAGCCGCAGATTATATTTCTCCTAATTGTCCATAGTTCCATGTCACTGTTAAGATGGCTGCTGTCTTCATCCTAAGCCTTGGGCTGCGTATCCTTCCAGCCCTCTAGCCCTAAAAAGTTCTACAGGGGATGTGTGTTCAGTTTTTCTGCTGAATGGAGGGGGATGATCTTCCAGTGGCTTCCCTTACAGGATGTCTTGTTTCTACTTCCTCCACTTCCAAGGAGCCTGGACCTTGAGGACACAGGTTGAGTCTTGCTGCTTTTCCTTTCCAGCTGGGTCCTACCTGCTAAGTCACCTCAGCTCAGGAGGAGAACTCCCAAGTTCTTATCTTTCATGTAAACTTTGGGATGGGCCTTCTGAGGGGTGAGGCAGTTATCAGTGCCATCAGCTCCCTCCCCTACTGCTTTAGGTAGATAAGGTGTTCACCTAGGCCTTTCTTGGATTGTAGCCTCCTGGGGTTCTCACGGGGAGGTTTTATCCTTGTAGTGTATCACATATGAGGCTGAAGAAAAAGCGTGGCAGAGCTCTTTGCCTCACCCCATTCCCAATCCATCTGTAGAAGAACTGGGGTCTGTCTTGACACTTGTCCACTCCAGGGAGTGGAGTCGGGTATGGGAGGGCTGTGGAAAGGCCTGGAACCCACCTCCATCTTGTGAGATTGGGCAATTTGAGGTTGGGGTGGGGGTGGCATTGCTTCATGCCATTCTAACCCTTCATGCCCTGACTCTGGCATTACCTGGTTCCTGTTTCATAGACATGCTTAGGTTGATGAGCTGTGAGCCATTCAGTGGGGGACTTGGGGCATGTCTGTTCTGACTCAGCGATTTGACATGCCTAGTGTGATGCAACTCTCCTTGGAGTTGGGGTAGGGAAACCTCTGCAGGCTACCACATCCTCTCAGAGACCCAATGTTTGTCTCTTAGACAAAGTGTATTCAGATTACAGGAGCTGACTTCTCAGGCTCCCTGGGAGCACAGTCCTTCCGACTGACTGATTCTGAGATAGGATCTCTCTGTGGTAGTATGCCTACTATGTACAAGGCCCTGGATCTGGTTCTAGTACCTCAAAAAAGTTTTTTTTTTAAGATTAGACAGGGTTTCTTTGTATAGCCCGGGCTGTCCTGGAACTCACCAGGCTGGCCTCGAACTCAGAAGTCCTCCTGCCTCTGCCTCCCAAGTGCTGGGATTAAAGGGATGCGCCACCACCACCCGGCTTGTTTTTGGTTTTTCAAGACAGGGTTTCTCTGTGTAGCCCTGGCTGTCCTGGAACTTACTCTGTAGACTAGGCTGGCCTCGAACTCAGAAATCCGATTGTCTCTGCCTCCCAAGTGCTGGGATTAAAGGCGTGCGCCACCACCGCCCAGCTTTTTTAAAGATTATATTAGCAAATTTTCTGTAAATTCAATCTTCTATATACAGAAATCCTTTTCTATTTTCCGACTTCTTGTAAAAATTACTCATTTCTTCAGCAAGTCTAGCCCTTCCCTGATGTATCCTTTACCTGGTCCGTAGCTCTGGGTGTCAGAGTGGGAAAGGTGTGGTACCCTGCCGCAGGAGGTTACTTACAGCCCTTGGCTTCTTCCTGAACTTGGGATTTCCAGACCTTGACTCAGCTGTGTCTCTAGCTGGGCTCCTGATATAGGGTGTCAGTCTTTGAAGTCCTTATGTGTCTTCTCAGTGACTTCCAGCCCTGTCCACTCTGAACTCTTCCCCTCCTCCAGGTCAGTCTTGTTGCCCATGGTCTGTCACACAGTGGCTTATTGCATGTCACTCCTTTCTTCTCGGGCAGCTTCATCTGTCTCCCGTGAGGCTGGCCGAGCTACATTCTGACCTGAAGATACAAGAGAGGGATGAACTCAACTGGAAGAAGCTGAAGGTGGAAGGCTTAGACAAGGATGGCGAGAAAGAAGCAAAGCTGGTCCACAACCTCAATGGTACCTTCCTATGCTCATGGCGGGTACAGCCACCAGCCCCCCAGGCCAAGTTGAGGGAGGGGGGACATGGTGAAAGCCAGTGCACATCAGTGAGGTGGCTCATCTGAGGACAGATGCCCCGGGTCATGGTCAAAAGCTCCTGTACTGCTTTATGAATGTTGGGAGGGAGTCAGGGCCAGGGACTTGGTACACGGATGCCCAGGCAACTGAAGGCTCTGGAGCTGTTTGGCCAGGAAGAAGATAGGATGCTGTCAGCCAGATGAGGAAGTAGGTCCAATCTCAGAATGGACTGCTGGCAGTGCAGGTTGAGAGCATTTCCTTGTGTGGGCAGTGAAGATGGGCAGACTCACATGCCCTATGCATTGTGCATACTTAGTGCACACATGGACCCTTAGGTCTAGAGGATGGGTCTGTGCTCCACTTGGATTCTCCTCCCATCCTCCTCACACCCTAAGCGCACAGTAGGGCATTGATAGGAAGAGTTGGGTTCATCATGTGCCACCCTGTGGCATTCGGGACATAGCCTGTAGACTGAGTACCAGCCCTTCTGCATACCCTGGGCGATGGGGTTCTATCCCAGCTCTGCCACCATTTGACCCCCATCATCACCACACTCACACTCCTTGTGCTAACACACTGCTCTCCACCTTGCCTCTCATGGTAGTCCCAAACTGAGGGTAGTGCCCCCCCATGAGGTAGCACTGGCATACAGGGTGGGTAATGGGAGTTAATGTTGGCTGGTATAAGCAACTGAACTGTAGCCAGGGTTCTTCCTCAGAACTAGGCGTCAGTGCTAAGGTCTCTGCTATGACAGGAGTTGCCCTTTATAGAGTCCCTTCCAGAGGCTTGATGCTGAATATAGAGTTGATCCCCTAGGAGAGGAGGCCAGCTCTGCAGAGATAGAGTTGGGCTCAGAAATAGAGGAATTCAGAACCCCAGGAGGAGAACTAGTGACCAACATCTTCTGGCTAGCCCGTGTCCTGGGTGGGTTTTAGCTTCTTCTAGCTTGACAGAGTCTGGCTCACATAGAGCAAGGTTTTCTGTTTGGGTCATGCTTCCTCTTCACTGGTGCTGGTGGCCTGGCAGCAGACCTAACAGGATTAGGTGCTGACTCGTGAAGTTGACTCTTCTAAGCACTTGGTGGAGCACTTGCTGCTGGAGATGGATGCTTACAAATGCTGGCCACCTCTGGGTGTGATGTATGTGGGTCCTCCCTTCACTGCTCAACTCATTGTTATGGGGAACCAAAATGCAGAGTCCAGACCTAGAACCTGGGCATAAGAAACAGACCATGTGAAGGGTTGGGCCCCCTGGCTATAACCAGCTCTACCCTGAGCCAGGCCAGATCCTTAAAGGGCTAGTCATGGGAGCTGCCTCATCTAGATCCTCAGCTCCTGTGCAAAACCCCACATGAACTCAGTCCTATATGGCAGCTGTTCAAGGATATGCCCATCCTCAGGGCTACCTCACTCCCCAGGCTAGGTCTAGACCCTGCAGGGAACTATGTGAGATGCTATGGCTCCCTGGGATTCCATTTCATATAGAGCTTAGCACTCCAGGATTCAGATGTTGCTCAGTCTTAACTCTGAGCAGTCTTGAGCAATTTGCCTCTGGGCCTGAGTCTGATGGGGCTTGTGTTCCCCCCTTTCCAGCCCCTCTTCCTACCCTGACCCAGCTCAGGCACCAGGGATACCCGGGTTGGGGGTGACAGTGACAGCTCTTTTCCATGGTAGCAAGCATTGAGCAGGCTTGGGCTGGGCAGCAAAGCTGCAGAGGCAGTGCCAGGCACTGGCTCTGAGGCTAAGAGGTAGCTGAGCATATGGATTGTACTGTGTTGCCCAGGCTGCTCCCAAACTCAAGCATTCCCTGCTTAAGCCTCCCAAGTGTCATAGATTATAGGCTCAAGCCACTGCCCACTTTAAAATAGCTTTGTAAGATCTGAATTAGATCTAATGGAGTCCAGATCGTCACAGTGTATGCACCCACGCCGCTTGCCCATAGATACCTCCTGACCGGTCAGTAGAAGTGGCTTTCTGTGGTCATCAGGAATGCTATAGACCAGTCTGGGAACACATGTAGGGCAGTAGGAATGTGCCTCGCAGCACATTATCCCAACTCCGGGGGGTGGAGGGGGGTTCAAGCTACCAGGCAGAATGAGGCACCATCGTTCTTAGGCCTGGGAAAAGGGTAGACATCCCCCAAAGACAGGTGCAATCTGAGCAGCAGGGACACACTTGCGGGGTCAGCTGTGACTGAAAGCAGAGCCCATCAGAAGGAAGAGCTTGGGGAGGCTGCACTGTGAGTCATGTGACTCCTGATCCACTAGAGCATGGAGACCACAGTGCCTTGTGGAACTGCCCAATGAGAGTTGTTGATGAAAGTCCCAAGAGAAGTTTGGGGATCCATGGGTCACCAGCTTAGAGATGACAAAGTAACACAACAGAAATTCTGTGACCCTAGAGAAGACAGGGTCACAGGTGAGGGACAGATCCCCAGCAGCTAAGCAGAATTTAGGAGTCTCTCTGCACTTAAGAGCAGGGATCAAGTAAGCCCTCTCACCAAGCAGGCATGGGTGGCTGCATGTGGCATGCAAGTTCCAGGGTAGCCTGGCTGGCAGGGGCATGGAAGTTACAGGACAGTCATTATCGAAGTCAGCTGGCAGGTTGGCCCATTATATGTTGCTGACAAAAGGTGCCAAGACCTCCAGAGTGGAAGGGCTGTGGGCATGCATAGAGCCTGGACATCTCAGGAGGCTAGGTGCCTATTGGCCAGACTCTCCTAGCCATCACCCTGACACCCAGAAGACTGTTCAGTCCTGGTTTATTGTTGTTTGTTTGTTTGTTTTCCGCAAGCGTGTGAACACCCAATCATCACGCTTTATGAACCAGAAAGGATCTGTTGTTGTTGTTTTGTTTTGTTTTGTTTTTGCTGGGATTTGGCAGATGCCAGAAATGGAAGCATCAAGATACGGTCCAAACATCTCCCACACTCTCCCTGCCCATGAGCTCCTGATTCAGGAGGGCTCAAGCAGGGAGTGTCTATGGTGGAACCCAGGATGCCTTGCAAATCCCTGGCCTTGAGCACCCAAGCTGGTGTATGTCCTCCCCAGATCTTGTGTGGCCACTTGGGGGGTAGGGGGGAGGCGAAAAGAATCTTCTAGAAAAGGAGAAGCAGACTCATCATAGAGGCTCCTGTGTCAGCTCCTGCCTATTAAGGGAGACAGTGTCCAATAAAAATCAAATCCCCCCTCTCTAGTCATTCTGGCCAGGTACGGACTGGACGGGAGGAAGGACACCCAGATGGTACACAGCAACGCACTCAATGAAGACACCCAGGATGAGCTGGGGGACCCCAGGCTGGAAAAGCTGTGGCACAAGGTACCACTTGCCATTTCCCCCCTTATCTTCTGAAACTTGAGCCGACCTGTGGAGAGATACGGATGTGGGGCGGGGGGGGGGGGGGGCTCTATCTCTGCTGTCACCTTGCTGCCTCTTCTACACCAACTCAAGCTGCTGGCTTCACTGAGAGACATGATCTGTGCACATATTCTCCTTCTGTGAAGTCTGAGCGTCCCGGTTGGTTACTCTTGCTCAGCAGAGCTGTTCCTAGCTGTCAGGACTGCGGTCTTAGATGTGCTCTTCACAGTGTGTGGACAAATCACACAGATGTCAGGTCAGGTAGCTGGGTTTATTTTGTCTAGCCTGTGGTCCTGCTTCTGGGATTAGGAAAGGGGCCCTCAGCTGTATAACAGCTGTTGGTGTGGGCTCTTGATACTGTGATTGGGTCTGGCCCATCTTTGCTTTGTGGTGCAGACCTAAGCAGAGAGCACTCGTGTGTGGGGTGGGCACTGGGATATGGCAGTGGTTCAGTGCCACAGGCTCAATTGGTCCAACTCCTGGGATAGCCTGTCTGGGTTACACTGATCTTGTCCCTGCTGGACCATTGAGATGGCCCTGCTGTTCTCAAGGCACCTTCCTCAGAGTCCTTCCCTTCCCCTTTCTGGCCAGCCCTGTCAAATCTGGGGACATCAAGGAAAAGAGACACTGCTCATCATCAGGAGCTTCCAGATAGATTTTTCTTTTCCTGGTACACACACCTAGTAGAGGGTCACCAGGCTTGCAGGGGATGAGAGCAGCCCCAAGCTCTTTGCCCTGGAACAGGGATGCAGCTGATAGACACCTGAACTCCCCGGGATGTGCTGATGATGGGACAGACATGGCAGCCCAGGCTGTTTCCTCTTAGGCAAAGACATCAGGGAAATTCTCCAGTGAAGAACTGGACAAGCTGTGGCGAGAGTTTCTGCACTACAAAGAGAAGATCCACGAGTACAATGTGCTGCTAGACACACTGAGCAGAACGGAAGGTCTGTCCGCCCGTGCCTGCGTGCTCTGGGCACAGAGGAACACGGTTGCCTGGGGTTATGGGAAGGAAGGGGGGACACTTTTCTTGTTTCTACCCATGTTCATGGATGCATACGGGTTCTATATCAGTTGTGTTATGTCAGTACAGCTATACAGATTGCTTGCTTCAGGGGTGACTGAGGTGGCCTGATGTAGCAGGCCACCACTCTAAGCCAGCCACCATGAATTCTGAGTAGTATGACTTTGCCAAGTAGGGGGCCTGAGAAAGTCAGAGCCATTAGGGACCATGGAGGCCCCTGGGGCAAGCCTTTGGGTACAGATGCCGACACATCCACACTTAGATGTTTTTTTTGAGAAAGCACATCCATCAGCTAGCTCTGAGGGCTGCAGAGGTATGGCCTGTGGATGGACTCGGGGCCATCTTGGCCACTACGATGCCAATTCTTGTCAAACATTCTGTGTCTTGTTCCACAGAAGGTTATGAGAACCTTATCAGTCCCTCTGACATGACTCACATCAAGAGCGACACCCTGACCAGCAAGCACAGCGAACTGAAGGACAGACTGCGTAGTATCAACCAGGGCCTAGACCGCCTGAGGAAGGTCAGCCACCAGGGCTATGGCTCCACCACTGGTAAGTCCTGGGGACAGGTGCATGGGCCCAGGAATACCTAGGAGACTTGTCACAGTCATCGTCTATGTTAAAGAGTGGCCTGTCCTGGGCCCCACTTCTTGGAGCTGTAATATAAATGTCTGGGTCAGGAACTGGAGAGATGGTTCAGTGATTCAGAGTACTGACCTATTACAGAGGACCCGGGTTCTATTCCCAGCACCCACATAGCAGCTCACAACTATCTGTAACACCAGTCCCAGATGATCCAATCCTCTCTAACGGGCTCCGTGGACACTGTATGCCTGTGGTACACAGACATACATGCAGACAAAACATTCATGCACATGAAATAAAGGTTAATTTTTAAAAAATGTTCTGGGCTGGCCATCAGCCCTGTCACCAAAATTATTTTGAAGTGGTAGTGGCGTGGCCCTCCATCCAGGCTGTCTCAGCCTTGGTAATCTGGGCACAGGACTATCTCTGAATCCCCTGCACAGTGGGGGCCAGCTTTGCCATTGATCCCATGCTGGCCCATGGCCCTTGTATCAAGCAGCGTGGCAGCATCTGTTGCAGTGACAACCCCACCCTCACAGGACTTACCTCGCTGTCCATCCCTGGGGCTCCAGGCGGTGGCGTAGTGGGGGCTTGGGGATGGTGGTGTCTAGTTTTGTGTCTAGCAATAGACAGAGTCCTACAGGCACAGCTTAGACAGCATGGGCCCGTGCAGAACCTCCTTCTGGGAAGCACCTCCAGGCGTGGTGTGCTCTTGTGAGGCTGGGCTAGAGGACTGCTCTGAAGTCATTGCTCCCTCTCCAGAGACTGCTTGCTCTGGAGATGACCAATCTATCTCATAGGCCAGCACTGAGGACTTACTGTTGTTGGGTTAATGGGGCCATACAAGGGAGTCTGGCCATGGTCAATGTGTTGGGTGTCACCGCTTTCTCTAACCACCATCCTGCCCTCCATGGGTCATCTCCTAGGGAGCTGCATCCAAACAGTCCCTTGGCTTCTCCCACTGGCCTACCTGTGGGAATATAGGCTAACTCCTATATTCTCTAGAAAACCAGTGTTCTCTGGAAGGGCCCTGTGGACAGCAGAATTTTCTACTGTGGCTCAGGAGTGGCCAGAGGCCAGGGAACCTTGCTGGATGGCTCTCTGTTTACCCCAGTCCAGGGATCATGGGAGCCAAGATGTGAATGGGCAGACCTCAGCCTTGACTTGGTGCCAGCCCTCCCCAGTACCCAGCTGGATCTTCATGGTCCTGTCACACTGCTGCTCTAACTCACACCCACCTTGAGACAGCCAGGAGCAAGGCTGATGGCCCTGAGCAGGGGTAGCAGATGATTCTGGGTCCAGAGGATGTGACCCCTTCACTGCCGCAGCCGGGTTTCAGTCCAGCTGCATCTAAGCTGGTGCTATGAGCACAGACCAGGTACTTAGTGCTCCTAAGATGTAACACACACCATTCCCTCGGGATGACAGGCCACTTGGCCCCCAGCACCAAGGTATGTCCTAACATGCTACCTACCCAGACAGACAGCCCTTGCTCTCCTGCAGAGTTTGAAGAGCCCCGAGTGATAGACCTGTGGGACCTGGCTCAGTCTGCCAACTTCACTGAGAAGGAACTGGAGTCGTTCAGGGTAAGAACAGTTTCAGTGTGTAGCATGGTGGGGTGGTCTGCCCGCTCTGAGCTGTGAGGTGCTGAGAGGGATATACGGCCACATGCCTGGCCAGGTGCGCGGTGTGGGCAGAGCTCCAGGAAGCTGATGGGTAGAATATCTTCTGAACAGGATCATTGCGAGTTCCTTGCTGTTTAGGGTAGGATAGGACATGCTTGGGACTTGTATAGTTTGAGGTCCTCAAGTTTTCTGAGGCTTCTCCAGCAAGAAGCTCCAGAGGTGGTGTTTCTGGAGGTCACCACTGACCTCCCAGTCATCATTGGATCCATGAGGTAAAAGGGAACAGGCAGGGAAGGTTCCAGCAGCAGGCAGCCTGTGAGAAGCAAAGGAGCCCTAAGGGCCAATGAGGTAGACATGAGACCATCCTCATGGGGGGTTTGTGGCCCTGGGAAGAGGCCTTAGATCCCAAAATCTAGCCTGCTTTAGTCATGATCTCCTGAAGGTGGAAGATGGGGTGACCACCTGGAGTCACTGGGAAAAAGGTATCTAGGGATGGGAGTTCAAAAGTCTCTGCTGCCACTAGGTTCTAGTGGACAATCCCTGTTTAGAGAATCTTAGCAGTGAGCATGTGCCGGTTCTCAAGTGTGCAGCCTGGGAGCTGCCAGCAGTGGTCAGGACCATCTCTGAATAAGAGACGGGCACCTCGCTTGGGCTCTGTGTTGGAGGGGACTAAGTTCCTGATGCCTCCCTCCTAGGAGGAGCTCAAGCACTTTGAGGCCAAAATTGAAAAGCACAATCACTACCAGAAGCAGCTGGAGATCTCCCATCAGAAGCTGAAGCACGTGGAGAGCATCGGTGACCCGGAGCACATCAGCCGCAACAAGGAGAAGTATGTGCTGCTGGAGGAGAAGACCAAGGAGCTGGGCTACAAGGTGGGGCGTGCCACTTCACTCTTCTGTCCTCACACCCGGTCCCGTTCACCCTTCCCTTGGGTCTTAGACACATGGCTTGCTGATTCAGGGAAACACAAATGCAGTCCATTGGAACCGTGAGTGGGCGAGTACTCAGCATGGGAGATGCTGGCACTGCCAGCAGACCTCATGTCTATAGACAACATGTAAGATGTACATGCCTGTAGACATGTAAGGCAGCAAGCATTGTAGCATCCAGGGAGACTCTGGACAGGGAGCTGTTTCCTGGCCTGCTAAGGTGTGGGCTTGAATCCCAGGCTGGCCACACTGGGATGTGACATAGGTGGCCTGCAGGGGCAGTGGGGCAGTGGAGCCCTTTAGGGAACAACCTCTGGGTTAGTTGAAGCAGAATTGAACAAGCAAAGGCACGCCAGCTGAATGACCACACACATGCTGGGAATCCCTGAGGACCCACATACCTTACCTCTGGAAGGATGGGCTGTAGCCAGCATGGGAGATTCCCTCCTGTACCTTCTCAAGTTGAGCACAGAGTGTTAACTATGCAAAAATCAAAACTGAGAAGTAGAATAGTACGTAGAACAGCAGGAGCCTAAATCCCTGGGGCTCAAAGGCCATTGGCGAGATGACCATAGGATTTGGGGATTTTCACAGGGCTAAAATTCAAGCATATTCTTGCCTGTCCCTGGCCACCAAGAGACTTGTTGCAATGAGGGGGCCTGTGTCTGAACAATAAACTAGGGGTGCCAGGACCACATGGTGTGCTTTGAGACCTGCTAGCTACTGACGTCAAACCACAGGTCTCATGAAGGGTAGTGCTAGCAGCTGTCACTTTGAGAGAATTCATTAAAGCCACAGATCAAATCCAGGTCCAGGTCTGGTAGGCTTGTATGGCTCTTTGTACCCTTGTGGTATTAAGGGGTCCGAAGTGGAGTTATCTGTGTCCCCCTGCAGGCATCCACTACTGAGGACATCGCCACCTTCATGGGCCACCATAGGGTCTCCACAGTGTCATTGTCTTTTGGGGTGATCTGCTTCTGGCTGTTTTGTTTTCCAGCTCTCTTTCAGTGTTTGAGTCTGTACTGAGCTTTGTCCTTAGGACATGTTCTGGGTGGCTGGGTAGTGGGAGATGAGCCAGAATGTTTTGGTACTGGCTTTCAGCTGTCTCCTGTGATCTCTTGACAGCAGGCTTGCCATGGTGTCCCCCACTGACAGATGCCCTCTTACACAGGTGAAGAAGCATCTGCAGGACCTGTCCAGTAGGGTCTCCAGGGCTCGACACAATGAGCTCTGAGGGCCAGAAGCCACCAGCAGCAGCCTAGAGAGGCTCTTGAAGACACCGGGAGGGAGCTGTCAGCATGTCATCGCTTATGTAGTCCTGTGGTGACTGGTGTGGCTGGCCAGAGTGGCGAAAGGATCCTTTGAAATACCAGTCTGATCCTGCAGTGGCTGGCAAGGACTTCTTTTCTTCCAAGCAAGTGTAGCTGCCATCACCCTGGTTGAGGGACTTGGGTGTAGCTACCAGTGAGATATGACTGGCCTCCGTGCTGCAGCGAGACAGTTTACATTGACATTACATACGTCTGCCACTGGAAATGTTATGTACAGTCCTAAAATATATGGCAGGGTTTTGAGCCATCTAGTCCTTGCCTGGTATCTTGGGATGGGTCCATTGAACCAAAGGTGGCACCGTGACAAATTAAGTTACAGATGAAAGAGGGAAGGGGAAGACTAGTCTCCCTCCCTCTGGGTCTGACCCCAGGCAGTTTTAAATCAAGGAATTTCAGGACAAAGATGGCAGAGGTGAAAGCCTGCAGGTCTCGTAGGGGGAACATTTTCTGCCTCCCAAAAGACCCTGATTGGCTGATCCAGATCTGATCCCTCACAGAGTAGCCAAAAGTTCATCTGACCCCAGCAGGTGGTCCTGGAAAATCAGACCATTGAGTTTGTTAGCTTCTGGATCTCAGCTCAGAAGTTGAAATCTGCCTATCAGGAGTATGCAGTTAACCGTGTTTATAAGAATATCAAAGCTGGAAAGAGGTTCAGTGAATAGAATGCTTGTCCTGCAAGCTTGAGGTCTGTAGTTCGGATCTGCAGAGCCTTGGTGTGTGACTTGCCTGTAGTCCCAGCACTTGAGAGGCAGGAAAGTACAGCCAGGGCAAGCTGGTTAGCTATCCCAGCCAAATAAGCAAAGGTGGAGCATGATGGGAGAAGGCACCCATTTTGATGCGTGGACACACTTTCATGTATACCTATACACAAGTGAACACTCACGGGCAAAGCCTCCAGGGCATCATGCAAGAAGCCCATGGGTTAAGCACATCAGCAGCAAGGAACAGCAGGCAGTGTGGTTCCCTCACCCACGCTGTGTCTGCCACCATCCAGACCAGCTGGGATGTCCCTCCCAGCACTAGTAAATATCTTCCCAGAGCCCTCAGCAGTGTCTGAGTCCCAGAGAAGTGTCTCAGTTCTCCCTTTCTGGTTCAGCCCAACACAGAAACTCGGGTACCCACCAAGGCCTCCTGTGCTACACAGCCCAGGGGACTGGGATGACACTGGGCCCCTGACACCAGGCTCAGAGTCAACTGCAGGGAGAATGTTTGGCTATCGGACACACCTTCACTAATGTTTTCGTCCCTAGAGCCAGAGGTCAGAACTGCGTTCTAGGGCTTAGAAGTAGACGTGTTGAAGTAAAATGTGTTTGTAGCAGTACACAGCCCAGCAAACCATCTCAGTGTAAGTAATACAGAGCCCACAGCTGAGTTAGGGAGCATGTGTGATGTGTGGGAGCTGCCTCCTGGAGCTGACCTCAGTCAGGAGGCCACTCCTGACTAAGCTCTCAGAGGTCAGACCCTGCAAATCTCCCTGAGTGTGACTCCCATAGCAAGGGAACCTCAAGCTACAAACCTCAATGAGGTTCTGAGTAACAGTGCTCTGCCATGGTGACCTAGCAAAGGTGACTGAAAGTCCCCAGGCTGGCAGGTCATCAGTCACCATATGGTGAAGGAGAACAGGTTCATGCAAGTTGTCCTCTGGCTATGTGTGCCGTGGCACATGGGTTCAAACAATGAATAAAATGTCTTAAAACATTCTTTCTGGAAAGATGACCTGTGTCCTATTTTTCCAACCCAAAGGTAAGGTCCCATGAGCCCAGGGTGGTTTTGCAAACCAAAAAAGTTTGTTGGACTTCATCAGAATTGAGGCTCTGCTCAGTAAAGGTTCCACTAAGAAAGTCAGCAGAAAATGAGGGGCTAGGGCTCCGTTGGCAAAGTCCCCATTTAGCCTGCACAGAGCCCTGTGGTCAGCCGCCAGCACCTCATGAACTGGATGTAGTGAACACACCTGTGATCTCAGCACTGGGGAAGTGGGGCCAGGAGAAGTTCAAGTTATCCTGAGCACATGAGATCTTACATCCAAAAAGGAAATATTTGTAGTACATCAGAAATGGGTGACCTAAACTGTGTAGAAAATTGTCCAGCTAGTTCTTTTTAAAGAGCGAAAGGATCACATAGACTCTTCACCAGTGAAGATATCCACATGGCCAGCAGCATGAGAAGGGGCAGCTGGCTAGTACAGGTGGCGGGGAAATGCAGATTCTTCCTGTGAGATGCTGCTGAATACCGCTCCCCTGAGATGGCTGAGTGCAATCTCCAGCTGTGTATGAATATGTACGTGTGCACCCACACATGCAGTGGAGTGTGCAGTGGTGAAGCCACACCACTCTACCGGACAATCTACACTGGCACTACCATGTATGTATACACGTCCTAAGACAAGAATGCCACAGCAAGTTCACCCTAGCTGTCCTAGCTGTAAGCAACCTGACTAAGCAGAAACATTAGAGGCATAAGGTATGGTGTGCTTGCGTGCCGGGACAGTATCTAAATGTGTGAATCTTGGCACTGTGCTGAGCTAGCACAGCTGAATGCAAGGCAGGATTAATCTCTAGAGATGGATGCCAAAGCATCAGTTATGCACCGTTTCTTCAGTTGCTGATGCTGCGGAAGATGAAGGCTTAAGTTAAGAAAGAAAACATGGACCCAGCCCAGGAGAGGTGCCTGAGGGCTGTGATACGAACAGCAGCTAACAGCTCTTCACTGGAATAGTTCAGAAGCTTGGAGAAGCTTGGAGAAGAGACTCACCACCAACAACAACAACAAAAAAATGGTCACAGCCTGATTTGGGACATTCTGAGACAAGAGCACACAACGAGAACAGTGTTGACCATGTATGAATGGTGGGTCACAGGAAATCCCATCCTTGTTTAGCAAGGAGGGAAGAGTAGGGATGCTGGGCATTGCTGGCCTGGAATTCTCAGTCACATGACCAGAGCTGCATGCAAGCACAGGACATGTGCATAACAGGTAGCACGGACCATCCTCATGGCCCATGTGAAGAATGGATAGGCTGAACCTAGACCGACAGGTGACCACAAGATGGACATGTTCACCTAGTGACATAATAACAAGAACTCTTCAGACAGTTGAAACTGGAGGCTGGGCAGGGTTGCTATCTTTAGCAACAAGTCTCCTGGATCTAGGTGCAGGGTGTGTGTCAGAGCAGGTGGTATGCTTGCTTAGCACACATGAAGCCCTGGTTTGGTTCCTAGCCACATAAACTGAGTATGGTGGTACAAGCCTGTAGTCCTTGGAAGATAGATGCAGGAAGATCAGAAGTTAAGGTCATCCTTGGCTACATGGTGAAACTGAGGCTGGCCTGAGCCACAGGAGATCCTATCTTGTTTCTGGAAAACATAAAACAAAACAAACAAACAAAAAACTTCTGATGGCAAACATTAGCAAGTGTCCATCTATGTTGTCTTAATAAACAGCCCAATTCAAGAAAGCTAAAAATACCAGCAGGACATGCAGAAGGGCCATTCTGAGCCATGGAGCTGTTGGAGTGCCTGAGAATCTGCTGTTCCTCTGATCATGAGGGAAATGAAAATAGGAGCTCCACCAGCACACACTCTGATGGCAGCAGACACATCTACCCAGTCCTCCAGATGCTTGGCTTTGACAACAAATGAGGAATGAAAATCTGACAAAAACCAAAGACATGCACCTGCTCGGCCTCCACCCACTAGGGGGCAGCATCATGTAGCAAGACAAGCCACCCAAGCCTCCACTCCCATCAGTAATGTACAACCCAGCTAGGTCCACATGCACAATGCGCTACCAGATACACTACGTCTCAATGGCAGTGTGGCTTCTCACAATGAGTGATGGCAAGTGGGCAGGGTGGAGGTACGGCTTCTCAGCATATTGAGAGATAGTCAATGCCTACTTAGAATGTCATTTATATGAAATAAAAATGCTGGCATATGTGGTGTGTGTGTGTGTGTGTGTGTGTGTGTGTGTGTGTGTGTGTGTGTGTTTATATGTATGGGCAAATATAAGGAGACTGCATAATCACATGTGTGTCCATTTAGGTGGAGGCCCAAACTTGATACTGGATGTTTTTCTTAATTGTACTCAACTTGGGACGGTCTCTGATTGAACCTGGAATTCACCAATTCTGCCATATCTTGCGAGCCAGCTTCCCCCTGAGGAAGTTTTCCAAGTGCTGGGATGACGGGAGGACCACCACACCCACCTGCATTTTCGTGAGCACTGGAGATCTGAACTCTAGTTCTGTTTGTTCTGTAAGAGTCCTGACCGTTCCAAAACACACCAAGTCAACCAGGCTGGCCTCAGAGCCCTGGCAGTCATTCTGCCTCAGCCTCCCATGAGCTGATATCACTGATGGACCCCCCACACTTAGTTCCTAAACTTTTAACTCCCCCTCACAAGACAGTTATATACGAGGAGCTGTATCATCAGGCAGTGATGCCCTTGGGCTAGCCAGTAGACTCTGGCATGAGCTACCTGCCAACACCAGGGGGCCCTCGAAGGAACAGGATTCTTCTCACCCCCAAGCAGGCAACCACAGACATCTGGACTCCTAATGAAGTCCTTGGAGGCAGAAAAGCAGAAGAGAAAATGATGTGATTGGTTTCTGGGAGGAGTCCCTGCCAAAGCTTCTCCCCATAGGGCAGAAGACCTACCACCCTAGAAACTTGGCCTTTGAAATATCAAACGATAGGGGCATCTGTACATGCCAACCTGGCACCACCATACGTGTCCATCCCTGAACCTTTGGCTCAGTAGCAAGTTGTTTCCATCCAATCTAGGGCATAAATCACACGTGAAAGATCTCACAGCTTTGGAAAATAATATAAATTGTTAAAAATATAGCAGTGGGGATTTAAAACCATTTACCCAACTGCTGGAGTAGGTCCCAACAAGATGACAAGTGGGAACAGTCCTGTCCCCACCATGGCCTTCATCCCAAGGTACAGAGCTTTGCTCAAGAGACACATTGTAGGAGAAGGTAAGGGAGGCTGCAGTGTCCCAGCAGCAGAGCCAGTCAGTCGTGCAGCAGTGGCCAGTCACAGGTCCCTCTGAGTACAGAACCAGTGCAGAGTGCTCTGCTTATACAAGCGTCATGGTCATCATGGTCATCTCATCCGGGATGGGTAGTACAGCTTGCATTCCAGGCCTGGGAGACTTTCCATTTCCACCAGGCGGCTTAGCAGTACTGTTATGGCAAACACTGGGGCTACCAATACCTGGAGATGAGTCTCTTGGTGGCCCCGTGGCCTAGAAGAACTTGTTCAGGTCAAGTCTTGGCCACCAGTGAGGCAAGAGGCCCTGCTGCCAAAGAGGAGGCTGCTACACGCCTTTGCCACATTGGAATGAACTTATATGGTATGGGCCCAGAACCTACGACCACTCATTCCAAAGCACAAAGACCAACCACAGCCTCCACTACAGCAGGAGGCCAAGACTCAGCTTCAGTTCTGACCACCAGAGTATGCAGATAGGCCACGATCTCTAGCCCCAAAGGCCATCATCCACAAAAGGGAACAGGCTGCCTGGTCATGTTGGATAGTCCAGCTGGCCAGGTGCCCAGCCAGCCCCAGCCTGAGCTGCAGCCTCAGGGCCCCTTCTTCCGTTGCTCCAATTCTGCCAATCGCTCTTCCCGAGTCTGTGCATGCTGGACCCCAACACGATGTGCTGTCTCTGTAGCTGTGATGTCAATCTGGGCATAGCGGGAGGTGCTGGCCCCTGAAAGCAGCCCACAGTGAGTGGATCCAGCGTGAACATCCCCCAGCCCAGCTGCCCCTGCTCCAGCCTGCAGGTCCCTCTTCTCTGCAGGTGCCTCAGGTGATAGAGCTAGTGGGCACTCGGATCTATTTCCATTCCCACCCCAGCAATCCTGTCAGAGCTTGGGCCACTGCTCTGAGGGCTGAGCAGGGGGCAGAAGCTCAAGGTCTTAGCTGTTTGGGAAGGTCACTTACAGGCTCTGAAGAAGAGCTCTCTAGCCAGAGTTGATGCACCTGGGGCTCAGAACCAAAGCTAAGATCACAACTACCCTGTGAGGCCCGCGGTTGTAACCCACCTCGCACACCCCCACTGGCCCCTGAGAGCTCCAGGTCCATGTAGTGCAGCTGCAGTCTGGAGGTGGGGCTGATGGGGATATTCACATACGTGGGCATCTCGCTGTATGGTCGTTCAGGCCTGGGGCTGTCAGCAGCCGTGGGCCCTGGAGATCCTGTGGAGAGACGGTCTCTGAATCCCTGAGATATAGCTGGGAGGTATAAGGTACCCCTAAAGGCCACTCAACAGTGCTTTCCCACCCCTCATGGGCCAATGCCATTCCCCACTTCTACCTTACCTTGGTGACGCTCCCCAGTTCTCCCATACCCATTGGGGCCAGAGCTGGGATCCTAGGACTCAAACACTGCCCCCTACCTGGTCCAGGCACCCACCCCCATGGACCCCACAAGGCCTGTTCTGTCCCTTCAAATCTCATCTTACATCCTCCCAGGGACCCTCTTGAGTGCAATGTCTCCTCTCCTGACTCTCCAGGGCCAGCATATCCCTTGCTGTCTCTGCCTGACCCTCTTCTCTGTCCTGCTGCAGGCTGCTACTGGAGTAACTCCCAATAGATTGGGTAATTCCCACTAGGACCCCACTGGGTAATTCCCACTAGGACCCCTCTGTAGGTGGAGCAGAGCCTGTATCCCCAGCAAAATGAACACCCCAT